CATTTATGAGTGCATCTGTTGATTTAAGAATTCAACAATGTGATGATGCCGGGAATATTCTTGACTTCTGTTGATCATGTGAAAGGTGTTTTTCCCCACCGAGGTGACAATTCTGCCATGATCCACTTGAGGTGTTTTCCATGAGATACATCTCCAGAGTCATTGAAGACATCAAAAGATGTTGAAAACCCTTCAGATGAACGTCTACACATCCACTATGAAGGTACTGTATAGGCAAAGCTAATTTTTCATTGACCTTACTATATATATATATATGTGATTAACAAATAATTATTAATACTTCAAAGTGTAGTGAAAGCAACGTTACCGTACATCACATTAGATTAGAATACAAGACCGATTTTATTTTTCAATGCTGAATAAAATTTTCCGAATGAGTTAACAGTGGTACCATGATTTACGAGATGAATTCACCACCCACATTACTTGTATCTGAAATTTTCCCCACTGAAATCAACTGAAATGCCATTCATCTTTCCCACCCACCCCCAAAATATATATATTTTTAATGACGTGGTTTTAATAACAAAAAGTAGCACTGTGTTATTTTAAAACATAATGAGCTCCATTTTAGTACCATGCGTATGTGCGCTCGGTTTAAAAACCGGCACGTCATTTTTGTGAAGGGGCAAGTCTAGTTTACCGTGTTTGGGAATTTGAGAGATCGTGCTGTGCCTTTTTGGGCCTTCTGGCAGACCAAGGGTACTTTCTCTTAGACACCCACATGAACCTGACAATTTGGTGACGGCAAGTAGATGAGACATTAGACCAGGTAAAAGCAGATCTAAGTTGTGGCCCAGTAACTCAATTCGATCGAAGCCCAGGCAGACAGATTCTGCGCCCCATTGATACATGTGGTGAATTTTGTCGTATTTAATTTATAAATATGACACCAGCGTACATCCACCACTGTGAATCATTGTAGAAATCAGCCGCGTCACAGTGATGTAGGGGAGGGATGTTTTGTCAGACGGACACGATCGGGGTGGAAAGCGGTCTCCAAATACTTCCCAGTGGCGATCTGTGGTCATCCACCCATGGAGGTCAGCTTGCAGTTTCTTATGAACATATTTTTCATGCTTCGATCTTCTGCATGGACTCCAAGCTAGTCAATTTCTGTTTCCGCAATGAAGCGCTGCCTGCACTGTATCAGCGCTGTCTCAGATGTTCAAAGTAATATCGACCACCAAAGACCTTGAAGTAAAGTTCAAACATAAGAGCCTTGACTCTGTGCCTACGGATGAGCAAATCAATACTCCATGAAAGCTTCAAATGAAATGAATATGATTCAACCTTGAAGTAAACAGTAGTGTTTGTTATCTGGTTTATTTCAGAAGCAAGTTTTGGTTCTTACAGATGACTTCTTAGACCCATGAGTTCTGTGGATATCAAATTACAATCAGTACGGTACTTTCGATAAAAACAAATAAATAAATATATCTCGATAGATAGATAGATGTACATGTGGTATTACTAACAAACTATATACTATATACACTATGGGGTGTAACAAAAGCCGATTTGAATCTGAAAATGGCTTCAGAGTGAAATGACGTGAGTGCATCGGCACAAGCTTGAACGGGCCAATGGCCGATCAAAGTTTTAATTTGGGAATAATCGGTTTGATGTTGGTGATGAAGTGTTGTTTATTGAATTTCATTAACTTGAATAGTTCCAAGAACTGAGTCGTATCGAATTGAATCGTAATGAGACTGAATCGAACCAAATCAAACGGTTCCTCTTTAAATTGTTGCATTGCACCCTATGTGTTGGAGAGATTCACACTACTAATATACACCTACATGTTCACATGAGACAGATTACTTCATTCTCAATGTTATTGGAAAATCATCTAACAGTCTCTGCTGATCCTGACGTGATGGATTACATCATTCTGTGGGAACACTGTGCCCTAGCTACCCCCCCACCCCTCCCGCCCCAACCCCCTCACCCCCTTGTTTATCTCCCTCGGCATCCCATGGAGCCCCCTGGACAAAAACATCCAAGAGCAGCACCAAACACTTGGGATTGCATGATCTGGGAATATTCTAACAACCCCAGGCTGTTTTTTTGATGAGATGAGAAGAAGCCATCTCGTTTGTTTATGTATTTATTTATTCAAAAAGGGACAGTGCAGATTGATGAACATTACAAGCGAATATGACATATCTTAGGCTATTTTCTATCTAAAGTCCCTTGACAGGTTGCTGTTACGTTTTAAGAATAAATACAGTAAAAATACACAGACATGCAGTACACATTAAAAGTACCGTATTTTCCGCCTTATACGCTTCGGAGTATAAGGCGCACTTTCAATGAATGGCCTATTTGAAAACCGTTTTCATGTGTAGCTCACACCGCATTATAAAGTGCATAGAATAGCAGCTAGAATAGTGGCTGCGATTGCGTTATGTATCCACTAGATGGAGCTACGCTAAAAGAATACAATACAATACAATACAGCTTTATTTATCTAGAGCTTTCCTAACAGCTGCAGCTGCAACAAAGTGCTATACAGAACATTTTAAAATATTACGTCCAAGAAATCACAATACTGATCATATATAAAGTGCATCAGATTATAAGGCACACTGTCGACTTTCGGAAAAATTTAATGCTTTTCGGTGCGCCTTATAGTGCAGAAAATGGTACGCAGATCATTCACATTTTTTCGTATGTACCCCTCATAATTTGGTTTGGTTTTACAAAACAATGGTGTGTTTTTGTGGCAAGGGCAATCAGTGGAAAATTGGGACATGGAAGGGCACTGCCATAAAACATGTACTCATCCTCCTTTCGCCAACCTCCCCTGATTCCAGCTCCAGAGTCAGGTCAAGCCACGAAATAAGCCAATAATTACTGACCAAATCTTGTTTTGCTAGGAATTAAGTTTTAATCTGAGCTTTTAAAAACTCCTAAATCTATTTTATCTGATTGAGTCTGAGCATTGAGGAAGACGCTGGACTTAGCTTGTCAGTCACAGAACCGGTACACAGACAGTTTTTTTTACACTCAAACTAATAAAAGAGGTTTTGGACTCAGAGAAAGTCAGAATGCCCACAAACAAGCCACACAAACACTGACACAACTCGACACGGAAAGGTTCCAGGCCAGAGCCAAGGGTCGAACCATGAACCTTCATGCTGTGAAGCAAGTAAGCAACCAATCTTTCAACTGTGCTTCCAGACTCAAATATAACAACCTAAATATAATTTAGTCTCAGACGTCATTCAGCGTGGCTCCTTTCCTTGCATTGCACTCGAACAAAGAAAACATGAATTTTAGCGTGTGTGTGTGTGTGTGTGTGTGTGTGTGTGTGTGTGTGTGTGTGTGTTTGTGTGTGTGTGTGTTTTGACTGCATTTACTTTGCTCACTTGCTGAAAAGTAGGAGACAAGAATCTTCACAAAAGTAAAGTTGAAACCTCAGAGTTGGAACTCAATTAGTGGCTTTGCAAGCCACACCCACGAAGAAAGTGTGTCTGGAGAGCAAGGCCTTTACTACAGCTGGGCCTCGGTTAAAAACACATCCTTCAGTCAAATTCATTTACTTGCTGTGACGTATTCTTCGCGAGCAACATCACTCTTCGGCTCCGGGAGTCCATCCTCAAAACATTCGAAATGGCGCTTGGTAGAAACGATAGTTTGTTTTATTTTGTGTTAAACTCGGTTTTAAATGAGCAGAAACACATTGAGTTATTAAAACTCCAGCAGCTGACGGCGCGGAAGCATTTATTTCAAAACAAGACGCTCGCCTTGTTTCCACAAGTCACTTTTATGATGTCACCTCAGCTCTTCACTGATTGGTTCCTTTCAAACTCAGGTTTGCCCCAGGTTTGCCTCAGAAATGCGCTTGATGCTACTACCCACCAGACTCACTCCCGCCGTCCAAGGATCAACGTTGGATTTGGATCATCTTTAAAAAAGCAAATAAGAGCATTGAATCTGATTAGATTGTGTAGATGCACCTAATGAAATGTCTGATTTTATGACTGCAATTGAAGCTATTGGACTGCATTTGACAGCTCAGTATTGTGTTACTTGAGTTATGGTTTGGACCCAAATCGGGGTCAGTGGACATCCAACTAGATTGCTTTTCTTTCACATTCATGCCCATGTGCAGTTCCGAATGTGAAGCAAAACAATCTAATGGAACAAATAAGAATCAAGTGAACAAGACACTTCTCAGAAAGGCTCTCAGGTGTGAGTGACACTTGCACCTGTCAAATGTGTTTGGGTATTAGAAAAAAAAGGAAAGAAGCAGCAGGTAGCTTCCGTCCTATCAGCTGAATGATGAGAGCTGACTCTTCAGCTCTCTTTTCGGCCTCCTAGGTAAACGAACAGCCGTCTGTCTTTTAGCTCCTCATCAATGGACACAGTCAAAGCAAAAACTTTTTGAGAGCATACAAGGTAGCTAATGGCATGGATGGTTGGTGCCCAAAAGAATGATGAGCACAAGGAGAAAAGCAATTGCTCTTGTGGATCAAACCCTCCATTTCAAGAGCTAGAATTGGACACACCATAATGAATCCCAAACTTGCATTCATCCATGTTCTCATTCGCATTCTGCCATTTCACCTGTCTTGTTTGAACCCAAAACACAAAAGAAAACCATTGGACTTCGAGACATGAACTGTCGTACCGCCAAGACACCTGTGCTTTGGTTTGACTCACAATAGCATGAGATTTGGCCTTGGTGATATAGCCTTGACGAGATTTGGCTGCTGCTTGCTGGAAAATGATACTTAGCTGAAAAAAAAGGACCTTGCACATCATTGAAAACTGGTCAAAATTATGTAATTTTCTACGCTTTGAAAATATTCAAGTCTACATGTTAGCGCTCAGCAGTTTGCAATTGCAGCTTATGATCAGAGCTGTTGCGCTATATCTTTTATCATTGTCATTATTCTCATTCAGAGTTTGTTTCGTGTACAATTCACCGAGGGCACGGGCAAAGAATCGGAATATAGAGGGCAGAGGGAAGCACGTTAAAACGGTACGTGTGAGCTACGATAGTTAACAGGCTGCAAACGTGCGTCGCATGCCTCCGTGTCAGGCTGTTGCTCATCATGGCGTGCGTGTGTATGTGCGTGCGCAGTAACGGGTCGATCGCGGGAGATTGGTTGATCGACAAGACGATCTTCGGTCCAAAAAGTTTGGGCACCCCTGATTTAGCTATAGCTAGCTAGCTGGCTAGCCGGATAGCTGGCTAGCTGGATAGCTAGCTTGCTATTCCAGCCCGCTGGGTGAGAGGTGGGGTGCACCCTGGACTGGTTCCCAGCCAATTGCAGATCACAAACAGTTAACACTCCTACCCACGATCTTGAGTTTTCATTTCATCTTGTTTTTCCAATGTGAGAGGAAGCCAAGGTACTGGGATAAAATCCACATAAGCACAGTGAGAACATGTAAACTTGACAAAGTAGGGACAGAGCCAAGATTCGAATCCCAAACCTCAAACATTCAAGGCAAACACGCTAACAACTAGTCCACTGCAGGGCCAGGTCTCTGGTAAAACTAAAAGAAAATAAGGACAACTGGTTACTACCATTTGTGATAAGAATGCATCAATGTGTATTATTTATTGCCTCCAGCCTCAAATAAAATATACATGATCATAGTGGCAGTTCAGTCCTCCCATACGCACACTAACGCATGCTTGCTCTCGCTCACACACACACACACACACACACACACACACACACTCCCCTCAACACACACCACCACACACGCACACACTCGCACACACGCACACACACACACACACACACACGCGCACACACGCGCGCACACACACACACACACGCACACACGCACACACGCGCGCACACGCGCACACACACACACACACACACACACACACACACGCACGCACACACGCGCGCACACACACACACACACACACACACACACACACACACACACACACACACAGAGTGAATAAGTGAGTGTGTGTGCTGTTCGTGTTTCTGCGTCACTGCGCCAGGCTGTTGCTGTGTTTTATTATGCTTTAGTTACCCCTGCTGTGGGGCCTCATTAAACGCCAAATAGCTAAAATTACTGCTCACTATATTTCACATACAGTGAGTTGTCACACGTGACAGACCATTTGAAGGTGTGAAATATTGGGCAACTACAAGGGTCATTCAATAAGAATTTCGAACACAGATGGAAGCTTACTTTTTTTTTTCCAATGTAGTCTCCCAGCACTGTCACACACGTTTCCCCATCTGTGCACAAGCTTCCATATTTCCTCAGCATAACAAGCTTTGGACTGATGTCTCAGCCTGTCGCTCACAACACTTTTGACTTCATTGTCACTTACAAACTAGCAAAGGGTGGGAAGGTTGACAGACTCTACACACAATGTGGACATCTGATAAACCCGCAGCTTAAAATTGAAATTGTTGAAGCAAGAAAAGTTGTCTAGCAATTTTCGCAAAAAGGTATTTCAGGGCTCTACAGTCATGAGCGTCAATCTTAAATGTGAACAAACCATTTCATCCGCCCGTCACCTACCCGATTGTCTACCAGGTTTTTGCTTTGAAACAATGTTCAGTTCAAAACTGAACATACAGTGATCGGTTTGTGGAATCTCATGGGTTTGTGGAAGAGACGCACTATGGATTCATGTAATGGGTTTTACAGGTTTGCTCTCTGCATTGCTCCCCCCCACCCTCACATATGGTTGCGCTAATTTGGAAAGAAAACCACAAACTAGTGGAGCAGACAGTCTCTCTGGCATGCAATGTTGCTTTATAGCCAGCACATATGTTAAAAGAGGAAGGAGGGCTCTGATGACGCCATGTCGATACAGCAGATGGCTTGTCCAACTAAGGTAAAGGCTACTCCTGTTGGAAAGTAATTTAGAGGTGGAAAAGGCCTTCCAAATGTTATATTTTAAGTAGCACTCCTTAACCAGTTGACAGTGTTTCTGTATGGCGTGTGGTGTCTCCAGTCATGGGTGTGTGTTTGTGTGTGCATGTACAAGCTGGCTAAGGCGGTGCAGTACTTTCCATCAAACTGGTGTGGTGCAGGAAAGTGGGAAGAAAAGCAGAAGACAAAGGAAATATTCCGAGGAATACAACAAAGCGCTAGACCGGTTTATACAATTTTGACTGTAATTATGTACTTTGTATGTTTTTAATTAAGATTGAAAGATTGTTTGTCTATGTGCTGTGCTGACCAGTCCAGGGTCTTGCCGAAAGCCACTCTAGTGAGGATAAAAGGGACAGCAATTTTAAAAAAGCTTTACAAATGAATAATTTCACAGACACTTATGGATGCAATTGTAAAATGGGATGCATATCAATTTGAATAATCACCATTCCAATGGATTTCTGCTCTGTACAAATGAAGCCATAACTAGGCCAACACATTTTCCGCAAATGTTGGTCCAAGATTTTAAGCACCATTCAATACATAAATGGAGCCACATGAGTTCCATTGAGTGACATCCATGAACAAAACCCTGACGAGGCTCTCAAAAAAAAAAAAAAAAAATTGCTCATGTACACTTTCTGCCAAGATGCCAGATACATAGTTAATACTACCGTTAACAAAACAGATTGTTCCATGCAGTGCATTAGTTTGCTTCTGACATCTTACAGAATTCTCTCCGTTTTAGTTGAACCTCTTCGAGAACATATCTTTTACGTGTTATGCATAACAGGTTCTGGTTACAACGTTCTATTTTGATACTACCTAGTGATTCTTCAATGTTGTTTCTGCATACCACAAACTGTCTTCTACTGAGAGTACTGATTTATTTTGGTGATGAACACTTGCGGTGGTCGTGTTTGTCCAAGTGTGTGCGCGCACATGTTAAAAACACTAAAATGATTTAATATGTATCAGTAGATATTTTACTCTGAAAATGAAAAGAAATTTAAAATGTAGACATGTCACCTTCATCTTCCCGATATTTGAGCAGAGCAGTAGACAGGGCTTGATTAACTCAGTGGCCGCCCCGGTGGCTCAGCGCAATATGGCACCTGACAAGGTGGCGGGCACTGTCAGAGGATGAGTGCCGATGGTTCAGAACGGAGAAAGTATTTATCAATTAGTATGAAAGAAGTTCCGAGACCCTTGTGTGGATAAAGCGGTTCAGAAAATGGATGGATGATTGAAAGTTTTATTTTGAAAATCATGCATTCTCCCCTCTCCAGTCAACACGCTCATCTTGGTTGAGTGATATGTGAAAAAAATGTAAGCCCACAAAAAGGAGTTAAAAAAAACCCAAACAAACATTTTTAAAGAGGTATTCCACAACTGGGAATAGGCCCAATCTCTCTCTCTCACACACACACACACAGACACACACACTGTTTAGATGAAAGCACACACAGACTGATGGTCAAGCCATTTATACAGACAAGCAGAAGGCAGGAGCAGGCAAAAATACATTGATAACCCGATTTCGCAACAACAGTCCATCGCAACAGGGAAAGAACAGGCCAGGCATAGAATGTATATTTAAGGTTTTCACCAATCAGGCACAAATCTGCTCATCATAAAGACGTCATTAGGTCAACATTTGGGTCTCAACAAGAAGGCATATTCAAAACGCACCAACAACTAGCCATGAAAGGTACAGTGCAGCTGCACTGTGACATCAACATATGGCAGATGATAGGTTAAGCGCAGAGGGTTTTAGTTCCACATACAGTAGAGACATCATGTGCATAGTACACAGAATGGGGGGGCGGGGGGCCACCCTCTGACTTTATCTCAGGTTCACTACGTGTTTGAGACAAACATGCTCACAGATCATAACACTCAGTGTAATACATGTGTTGCACGTGTTAATACGTCACCAAGTAGCATATAACTGATATATTTCAGTTACACGGTATACATACTAGGACAGACTTGAATAATTGGCTGACCCAAATGGAGTCAAACAGGGAAAAACTTTGGTCTTCTAACTATATCGACATGGTTTAGATAGCGACAATCACAGTGGTATTAAAAGACTATAGTTACAGATAGATCATTTTTAGCCAAAAATTGTTGTCGTGGCACTAAATATGAAGTTGTATGAATAAGGACTGTGTTTCGCGACCAACAGTCCAGATAACATGACATTAATATCTATAAATGATATTTCAGAGGTCATCTCACTGGGCTTGGAACAGAAATATAAACTCAAAGGGAGAATGATGAGAAGGAGCCTGAGAAAACAATTTTGCAAAGGATTTAAGATTGGTAGTATTGTTACTTAACACTGATTGAAAATGATCAAAATCCTATAGTGTGCATTGATCCAAGTATTGACACCACCAAAATGTCATTTGTGCAAATAGAAAAATGAGTTGCTTTTTTTTTTTCCCCCTCTGCCGTCAGCATCTTATTGCAGTGGAAGCAACCCAATGGCCATCTGTTGACATTATCCGAAGGAACGATTGGCTGGTCAGTAGCTTCACAAAAACGTCACATCTTCTTGTGACTGCACCCACCGCCAGTGAGCATCATACTCCAGATGCATTTTGCCATTTAGTTTGCAAGTATCCAAGTCAACATTTGCATTTTTGTAAGCTTTCCGTTTAGGGCTCTGTTTCATGCCCAGTTTTTCACTGAGGCCCATACGAGTGTGGCTGCCTGTCGGTGTTGTCGTCTTCTCTAGGTTCCCGTTAGGTTTGATGGTCTGGCGCTGGGTATTCCTCAAAGAAACCAGGCCTGCTTCTGCCTCCTTAGTACCAACTGAAGCATCTTGATCGGCATTGGGCCGACCTTCAGGAATGTTGCTCGGAAGCAGTGGCTTTCCACTTTCACTTCCGACGATCCCGTTCCCATTGACATCGCTGAGAACAACGGGCCCTTTTCCACTTCCATTCTCATTCGATCGGGACCGAATTCCTATCCCAACTCCATTTCCAGTCCCTGCATTAGCCCCAGGCTTCTCCCCAGTCGCAATACCCGAAACCGTGGAAACTTCTGCTGTCCGGCCCCCAGCGGTGGCCTCAGAGACCTGTGGCGTGGAAGAGCAGATTGCTGACTCTGAGCTCGAGGGGCAGTATTCGTCCAGATCGTCTGCCAGGGTGTCCAGGTAACTACCGATGGAAATGTTGTCCAGCTTGTCGTTGGGGTCATGAAGGCTGCTCCAGGAACCTTTCCAGGAAGTGTCAGGGCCTTCGCCCAGGCTGTACTGGCTGCTGGTCAGGCTGCTGCATCGGCTTGTTAGCGTGCTGCGCTCCTCCAGCAACCACTTGACTGCTTCGATGCCTTCGTGGACCGCCAGTAGCTGCTGTAGGATCTTAATGTCCACGGAGCGCAAGTGTGCCTGTGAAAACATACGGGAAGAACTTGATCAGATACGTAAATTGCTCTTTTCATTGACAGGAGATGTAAGCCAATCTCTTTTTCATCAATGGACGCTACAGCTTCTTGTTTGCTTGTAGCAGACGTGTGCACATTTTCAGCATGACGTCTTTGATCTTATGTGTTGTGTTGTATTATTTTGTCATTTTATGTTAACTGTTCTTTCGAAGGTGGCGTGGGCACCCGCAGCGGCTCCTCTCTCTCCTGTGGTTGAGAGGAAAGAATTTCATCTGTGCTGTATGTTGCACATGTAGCACATTTGACAATAAAGTTGACTTGAACTTGAACAACGTGAGGATTAGGGCTTTTCTGAACCTACGTGCTTAAAACAGGAAAATAACTAAGGTGAGCCTAATAGATTAATTTGCAGAAAAATAACGGAGATTCTGTCATTTAGATTAAGAGGATGCATCTAGCTTTGGACATTTTCCATAGTGAGCCCAACTATTGTTGTCTTGATGTGACGTCACACTTCTGGGTTTGTCGCTTGTCAGGATCTCAGTTCGGGTAAATGATTACATTGTCAAATTTATGAAATAGAAATACAGTCAAACCTCGGTGTTGCACATGTAGCACTTCCAGAAGGCTGTTTGAAAACCAAAATTGTTTGAAAACCGAAACCATGCTCTTTTTTAAAAAAAAAGTTTACTGAACACGTCTGCTCACAATGGAAAGCAACATGAGGAAGCGTCACGTCCTCGTCTACCCGAGGAAGCGTCACTTCCTCGTGTAAGGAAGACGAGAGGAGTCAAATGGTGCATTCAAGTGCGCTCAGTTTGTTCGAGAACCGAAATTTGTTCGTCATCCGAGGCATAAAAAACTCGAAATTTTTGGTCGAAAACCGAATTGGTCGAGAACCAAGACGTTCGAAAACCGAGGTTTGACTGATATTTTCATGCCATATTTAATGTATTTTTTAAAATTACTGTATTTGTGACATAAAACCATTTCATTTGTGATTTTCTAAAAGTACTTCACAGTTGACATCATGTTTGTCTGGCACCTTCCATCGGCATGCGTTTAAAATGACTCTTCTTCCCAAGAGCTACTCTCATATCTCCCATTCATCATCTGAAAGGGATTATTACAACCCAATTATTCTCCATAAAAGCTCAAAATGTTTGAGGCAGTGCGAGTATATTTAGCCTCAATATGAGAATTCTTCCTCTTTCGAAAGCCTACATTGTTAGTGTACTGTGACGCTGTGATTTAGGAGACGAAAAGGCAAAGAGAGATGACCAACTATCTCACTTACAATCTCGACAGTGCCTCAAAACATATTTAATTTAGATGTACCCACATTGTTTGCTTATGTACAGTACTTGAGGGTAAAGGAACAACATTCAGTCAACCATCTGATGTTGAAGTTACTCTTGACAGTGAACACAGCATACTGTTACTACGTCTAGTCTAAGGCTAAATATATAAGACACGTAATGTCTATGTGTGATTAACCCCTGCAGTAGCACCGAGGCATGTCGACGTGAGTGCGTGGTGATAAACACACTGGTGATTTGAGAGGTGGGCTTGAGGTTTGAGGCTGGCAGACAGTCAAGGCTTAATGAGAGTGGCCGTAAAGGTTCTCCAGGGGCTCGTCAGCACTGAGGTAGCATAAAACTAACAAAGCCTTGTGTTCTTCACTTCTCGGCTTTGCAGCTGAGGGTGGGGATTGTTTTTGTTTCCTTGCTGTGATATAGGGCAGGGGTCCCCAACTGCCGGTCCGCGGACCGGTACCGGTCCGCCGGGCATTTGGTACCGGGCCGCACAGAAAGAACTTGCCTTAATTCCGTTTTATTTATTTCGGAATACGAAAGATGTTTTATTTTGAAAAACTACTGGATTCTCCGTTACATCCGTCTGTGTCACGCTTGACACACGTCAAGCCACGCTTCTCCTTACGAGACCGATTACTTCAAAACAAAACGCAGGAGCTCGCAAAATGAGTAAAAAAAACTGCCGGAGATCGCAAATCACGGCGGCCTTAGAAGTACGTTCGAGACAACTGGATTAAAGTTATGGCTGAATACTCTGAGATCGCCACAATAGCACTGTTGCTATTTCGACATCCTACCTGTGTGAGGCAGGGGGTGGGGGTTCTGCAGCAACGGCGACGAAAACAAATTTACGAAGTAGACTGGACATAAACCACACACTTGAGGTGTCATTGTCTCTCCTATTACCCCGAGATGGGACCGTCTGGTTGCAG